GAGGAGACTGCACAAAGTTCCCTGAGAGGGCAGCTCCACATGGACAGCAGGATGAGCAGTGACATGAGGGAGCTCTGAGGTCCTGACAAAAAACAGTTCCCACTTGTATTGGGTCTGACTGGCATGGGCTTTTGTTCACAGGAGCCACTATGGTCCTGCAGTTTGGTTTTGTAACCAAACCAGTCCTGAAAAGACACCAATATTTTGGCTATTGCTTTCTCTTTTTCTCCATTCTGCCCATCACCAGTGAGCTGATGTACATCTTCATCTTTGGCTCCTGACAGGAAAGCTGCATTGCCCCAGACTTGTCTCAACGTACTTTGTGCAGCCACTCCAGCTGTCCCATCAAGATATCTAAAGCAGAAAACACACCAGATTCAAACAAAGTATTGCAGCCTATTTAAAAGCTACAGGTCAAACACAATACTAGCCTTCTCAATTTTTTTGTGTACTAGCACACACATTTACTTTCCAAAATTATCCCTCTTCTGGCATTACACATCTTGTCTACTGCACCTAGTCAGACAGTGTTTGAGTACATATAGGCAACATGTGCATAAGTCTGTCCTCAGTTTCCTCTTTCCCCATTTTCTGGTCCGTCATCAAAACAAAATTTTTAAAGACCTCTCTCCTGCTCCCAAAATCCTCACAACCACCTCAAAAAACAACTCAAACTTCAGACATCCAGCACTTTGTTGACCAAGAACAATGCAGACACCTAAAAGCAACTGAGCAACCCTGTAAAGCAATTGCAACTTTGACAAGTTAATCAGCAAATGCAGAATCAAGCTAGACATCAAAGGCGATATAACATCCATAATACATGGAGAGGGCATAAATATTTTTAAATGATGTAGACGCAGTTGTCAAAGTCATTTCTATAGCAAGCGTTTTGGAATACAAATTAGGCCAACTTGGGTTTTTTTTTATAATTCAGGTAAAGAGTGCAAAGTTATAAAAAATAAATGAAAAGGTTTATAGAGGCAAAAGAGTTGTATAATACATTAAACTTGTAGAAAAATGAGGGTTTAGAAGAGTCATGAAAGCACTAAACAGGCTCGACATTCTTCAAGTGTCGATGTGTACACTGTGTGCCTCAGAAGATGACTCATGCACCATTTAACCATGCTGAGAAAATCAGTCTGGCAGTGGAAGCCCTTGCTTGCCTATGTGCTGAGGTAACAGCATGAAGATTTACTTCCAAAGTTTTTTGTTGTTCTTTTGACATCCTAGCTAGACCTGCAAATTTACTTTTTAAAAAAAAATCTTTTACGATTATGAGAATGAAATAAAATTGCTGTCTTGCATTATCCTGCAGTAGGTTTGTGTCCATTTTATGTCAGAATGCATGAACTCAATGCACCACAATATTACAGAAGTTATCTTTCAAACAGAACCCCAGTCCCAAGACTTGATCTAGAACTTGTCACAGTCTTCTCTGCTCAAAAACTGCCCATTTTTCCTCATATTATCAGAAGTTATCTAAGATTATACCTCCTCCTATCATCATCAAAAACCAAAAATTCAGCAGGAATTCAAAGAAAAGTCTGATAATTTAGGACAACTCAAAATCCATGGACTATATCTTTTGATTTTAAGAAGGATGTTTTGTGAAATGGGATAAAATCAATCAAAATCAACCATTCACTCTCAATGACTTCTAACAAAAGAACAAAGTACATAAAAAACCACACGTGCAATAAAATAAATGATGTCCACAGATCCTCCTTTAGTGTTCATCTTCTAGAGAGGTGGGAGGGAAAAAGAAAAAAAAAAGTAAAATCAAAGAAACACACATTATATTTCAACTTTTTAATAACTTGCATGTACCACTGCTATTATCCTGATGCATGGAGAACTCAGGGGCTTGATTTTGCCTCTGCAAGTCATTCTGATGAACGAGACCTTTAGTGTTGTAATAACTGCTGTGAGTAATGGAACAACCAATGGCTTTTATTAAGAAAGAACACTGAATAATGTATTACCAACACTAAGATCAAGGGGAAATACATTTTTATTAGGGAAAAATATTAATATCAATCATGCCATTTTTTTAAATCAGAGAAGTAAAAGGCAGAAAAGGAAAAAAAATTAAGAAAATGCTTTACAGAATGCATTAAATGGCAGAAATTATACCACGAAAATCCTTTTTCCTAGTGTGGCTACCTAGGGCTACATTACATGGTAGAGGAGCAATAAAAAATTGTGACATCTCTTGAGATACATGAATGTAAAGAAAACTCTACCCCAGCAAAAGGAGGGACGGGGGAGGAAGGTCGCTATAGAGACCAGCACACTGCACATTGAAACATTTGAGCTTAAGCTCATTCCTTTTGAAGTTACAGACTAAGACACATGGTGGAACAACTAGGAATGTTCTTTTGCTGAACCCTTCAGTGAAAAAAAAGGTGGCTTTAAAAATGGGAAGTGAAGAAAAAGCTATTCTGTTTTATCTTATTATTATTATTCTTACTTATAGAGCAATTCATAAAGTCACTTTTTAGGCTTTAGAAAGGCACACCAAGACTAAGCCTTCCCCTGAAGTGGCTTCCTGTTTCCTGAGTGAACACGATTTGGACATCTATAGTTTTGGACAGCAGAGATGGGGCAAAGAGAGCTGCAGAGATTTAAATGAAAAGATTCAAGGAGTAAAGAAGTCCATGGGGAGAAGAGAGTAATGGCTCTTCCCAAACCTTCATGGTGGTATAAACCAAAGCACAATCAGAGAAAGAGAGAGAGCACAGGGTGTGCTATGGCAAAAGGAGGGTCCACACAACTCGGGGCCAGCACAAGTCCAGACAAAAAGATCTGTGCTATGAGCCAGAGATGTTGGATGATGAGTTTCCAGATACAGTCCAGAATTTTATAATTTCTTCACTGAGAAGCCAGCTACATCACTTCCAAAAGCCCTCCTGAAGCAGTAAACACTTTTAAAGATTTATTTCCTGTGTTTTGTTCCTTGGTCTTTTTGCCCAGAATTTCATACTGAATGCAAACTTATTATTGTTAGACCATGGCTATTTGGTAATGCTGTGAATATGAATTTATTATATTTAGAGCAATTCCTGTGAGACCTGAGTATCTCCACAAGCATTTCATCTTGCTGAATTAATAAATGTAACACAAACATTCAGAGGAAAATGCAGACACCATACTTAGTCTAACAATTCCTTGAGTATATAAATGAAAATAGACATTTAATGAAAATTTATTGTCAGAGTTACATTTATATATAGCTAATAATACTAGATAGTGTGTCCTTTACATTTATGTACAGTGCATTTATGTTTATTCCTAGATGTTGGAATCTTTTAAGACAAATCCCATTAGCTCTCATTTCATCACTTTATATATGTGCTTGCTCTCCAAAATAAAACCACTTAAACCAGGTTGTTCCACAAACGCTGGAATTAATGAGGCGTCATTTCAAAGGATTTATGTCTACATTACTCCCCCACCTCCTTTTGTCCCCCACAGAATGAAAGCCCTCTTCTAGTTTTTTCCTTCTAGAAAACAATCTATATGATTATTTTTTAACCTAGACTCACCATAGGGAACTGCATGAGTCACATAATCAAGCCATAAACCAAGCAAATAGTTTTGTATGCTTTTGCTGTATTTCTGGCTCTCTTTCCTACACTGCATCACTTCAGGCATCAACAAAAAATGTTTTAGTGTTCCTGCTCTTAACTTTTCAAGATTAAAAACATTTATGGTCACATGGTGAATTGGAATAACTGAGAGTATTATGTTCTCATTTTTCTGTAAACTTGCTAACATTTTAAACAAGAATTTGGTGCCAGATGACTGTTCTGCAACTAATTGGGGAACAAATTTTTGTATGATCTACTGAAAGGTCTTTGGAGCTCCTTGCCAGCCAGGGTTTTTAATAAGATACTCATGAGTAATTAGAAATCTATAGACATGATTAAATCTTAATCTGCAATCTGCAGGATGAATATTTAGGTTGAAGTATGGCAAACTGGCAGAAATTTCAACCAGGGACCCCTCAGTAGCTTCAAGAATCTGGCTGGCATTTGTCAAAGCTGCAGCTCTGATTTATTTGTGAATTCCTCCACTGGACAGGTAACTCAAATTGGCTGCCAGCTCAGTGCCACAGCCCTGCACACACAGCCCTGACTGCCCCAGTACTAGCATATTTTACAGGAGGTGGGCACAAATGGTTTATTTCCAGTGAAAACTTTGGACTACCATTGCACTTCTTAAATAATGGATGTAATTTATTATTTAAAAGGAGATTTGCACAATACATATGTACTACCCAAGCTGCCCAGTAGGAAATCATACTTAGTCAAGCAAAGTTCTCACTAACTTTCATTTTTTCCTCAATAGCAAGCACTTATTCTGTAAGTAATGCCACAGCAATACCATAAAGCTCTGGGAATAGCTGGCTCTCAGCAGTCTGGAAATGAATACAACTGTAAACAAAAGAGAGTCTGAAACTACTGAAAAATTCATTTTCTTGTGTTGTTATAAGAGACGTTTTGGCTTCCCTGAGTGCACTTCATAGCTAGGAGAAAACTGTCCAAGTTCATACACACAGGGTAGCCTCCCAGTTCCACAAAAGATATGAACCTGGCATGAGGAGTGTAGTCTAATAAGAAGCTATGTAGGTTAACATTAAAAAGGTGTTTAAAGAAAGGGGTTCTCTAACTGTCTATATAATTCTATCGTATCAGCCACTATTCCTGTACCTTTCTTGTTGAAGGTAAGAAACATTTCACTTCTCTAATCATTGCCAGCTAAAGGTTTCAAAAAGCTTTGGGAAAATATAAAGAAATATGTATCTAACAGATAAGAAAACAAAGCAGAGATAGACTTGGAGGAGCACAAAATGATACAGTAAAATCTTTTTTCCCTGCCAAATTAATGCAACCAAAATTGTCAATAATTAACAGAAAGACTCACAAATCACTGTTTAGCCTTGTTGCAAATCTACATTGCTACTTTCAAAGAACTATGAAGAACTAAGGGCTTACTTTGAATTCTCTGCACTATTCTATAAGCAATCAGCAGGCCTAAAACAAAAACTAGCATAAAATAAACTGCCAGTGGAGAAAATGCAAGGAAAATAATGTAAATGTACTCAGTATACAAAATGTGGACACAACACATAAAAATCACCAATTAAAGTTTTCCCAAATAGAGAAACACTATTTTGCTAGACTTGCTCACAAGTCTTCTGGTATTTAGAATGTCTTCACAGACGTAAGAAATCTGAATATACAATGAAAATAAATGAACGTTCATTTGGAAAGATCCTCTTCTATCAGAGAAGACAGTATTACCTTTGAGGCAATATGGTTCCTCAATTAATATTCATTCCCCAGATTAACTGGATCACAAATTCCAATATTCCAAATTAATCCTTCTCCATTGCAAAAACCAAATGACCAAATTGACAAGAATGAGAATTCAGGTGGCTTGTGTAATGCCAATTTACGTGCAAGCATTAAGAAACAGTCTTTAATAATAAAAGTCATATTAGAGTTTTCAGCAAGCCCCAGTGCCTCATTTCTGAGGTGATTCACTGAAGTTTTGCCTATTTTAGAGAAAGTTCCGAGTTCCTGTGTGATACTGCCCAAGCTATCAAATACAAAGTTTTCTTTAGTGATCAATAGTGCCATGTAAATGTTCCGTTTGCAGCCTTGAGCTGCTGGGGAAGTCATCCAGCCACAAGAAGAACACACCTGACATGAAGTAGCAAGTGGTGTTTACTGAACACAGAACATCCTCTATGATCTGAAGGGTGCTAAAATCCAATCTTATGTCTTAAAATGCACATCCAAATTTGGTGAATTTTTCTGACCTTAATCTCTGTCAGTTCCCCATCTGTAAAACAGAGATAATACCACATGCCTCTCTGGGGCTTTGTAGAGATAAATTTAATTTAAAACCTGTGTAGCACTTGGATACTGTAGTGATGAGCAGCACAGAAAAGCCTATGAGGAAATTAATAATTCTGACGTCTGAGCAGGGTCTGAACAACGTGCTGTAAATAAGGCTTAGGGCCACATATCAAACACTGAGGATAAAACAACGTCTCAAAGAGCTACTCATTAATTGAGCACTGTCCATCTTGTGCACTAAGGAAGAAGTTTTCTGGAAAAGTATTATGTGTTCTTACCTAATTCTGATTACTTCATCAGAATGCATATGCATAAGAGAAGTTCAATTTCTGTTGCAATGCCAATTTTAACACTCTCTTCTTGTGACTTGCTTTTGCATTCTTAATAACGTTGTCTTCATTAAGTTTGTACACGTAACATTTATATAAAAAGAATGAATTATAATCTCACTGTGACTCTGACTTCCATGCATAAGTGATAATAAAAAAAAATCTTGGTTTTAAAAAAATTCATTAGAAAAATAAAATATCATGCTTGCCTAGGCATGGCAAATTCAGTGGGGCTTCCACTGAATTTCCTCTTCAGTTGCTTGGAATGGTCCAAGTGTTACTCCTGTTCACAGTTACTTACATAAGAAATCTGGGAAGGGAAAACATATCAGGGCACTGTCCTTGCAATTTTAATCCAAGGCATTAAATTTTAATTCTCAACAACAACAGCATCTGACATGTTCCCCTTGCTAGTTCCTGTGGAAGTAAAAATCAGGCAGAAATTAAGCTAGAGCTGCACTACTGCACTTGGGAATCACAGAGTAATAGCATCTCCCCAACATGCTCTCCAGTGCCTTCCTCCTCGTCCAAAAAACCCCTCTGCACTTGCAGAAGCAGGTGATGCTTTTCTGGTGACAATCTCCTGCTCCAGACTGCACAAGCACGCTCCAGGCAATGGACACCAGTGTGGCTGCCCTCCCAGGGAGAGCCCTGCACAAACAGCTCTGCCACCTGCACAGTTCCCAGGCCTGGCTTCCTTCTGCTGACACCTAGGTTGCTCCTTAAAAACCAGAAAAGTTTTATTTCTACAGAAATAGAAGACCAGACCCAGACCCTGCAAGTTTCTGCTCAAAAGGTTTTCTAGTACTTAAGTACTACAATAGCATAATGTATTCAAATTAAAATTAATTTTGTTAATACAAAATAATATGAAAAAATAAAGTGGATTTCCCAGAGACTACTTGCACAAACCCTTAAGAAAATAATACTCCCATTTAATTAATATCATCTATGTATGATCAGCACTTAAACATCCCCAAGAGAAGTAAAACCTGTTATTCCAGCTGAAATATCTGTCTTCAGAGAGTAATTAGCAGACATTTTTTGTTCAAATCAACACCAAATTCATTATTCTCCGTGAACAAATGTTTCATAAGATAACAAATATATAGGAATATGAAGCCAGAAGGTTTTCTACCTAGAATATGCCATCTTCTCAAAAAGGCAACAGAAAGCCAACATCTTTTAAATATTTAATTAGGATTCAAATCAAATTTACATACTGATATGCCACATTCTCAGCTAGTGATGAAGACAAACATCTCTGTGTGTTATCAGTACTTGCAGTAGTGATTTCTGTTTCACTTTGCTTACAGAAAGTCTCCAGAGATTTTCACACTGCTGTGCATCATTTCAGATTTTTTTAGCTTTTTATTTAACTAGTTCATTGTTGATATAAGTTGGGACATTACAGTTCCAACAGCAAAATATTTGGTACTTGATCAAAGTTTGAGATAGACCCTAACACAATTGTATTTGTGTTTAGCAAATACTACATTTGAGTTTTGAACAAAACTGCTGATTGAGACTGATGAAAATTACTCCAGCTTTACACAAATTGACAGATGTGATTCCTAGCAATGGATTTCCCAGGAAACTTTCTAATTTTCTTTCACTAATTTAGAAAAAGTTTATTTGAACCATGCTATAACGTACTGAAGTACAGATTCATATAATATCCAGTCATACAAAGTAAAGGGTAAAAAACCAGCTGAAAAAGCTAAGCTCTGATTTCTTGAAATGCTAAAAAGTTATCCAGAAACCAGAAATGTTTTAAATTATTGAACATTTCCTAGGAAAAGGAAAAGAAAACAATAACCAATAATTTCATCACACAACTAATAAAATGGACACACATTTCTCACTTCATGACCTTTTGGGAAAAAAAGGGAAAACTAATTCCAAAGAAAGCTTTCTCACTTTTTCTCTCTATTGAGGAAGTACTTAATTGCCAAGAAACCAAATTTCAGTAAACAGCAACCAATACACAAACACACAAATATTGTTACAAAAGCATTATGGAAATCTTCCTGTATTTCAAGGGTATGACTTGTAAAAACTTTAAGATTTCACACACAGATGTCATTGCCTGCCAGTAAATTTGCCTTTTCCAACAACGTTGTATGAAATTAAATAAATTCATAATTAATTGTTAAAAAAAATTAAAAGACAAATTGACCAAAATAAAATAATAAGCAAATCCCTTTTACCTTCAAACTGGACTTAGCTAATTTTGTCTTTCTGATAGCAATGTAACCAGCTAAACTGTGCATTTTCCTCTTCCCCCAGCATCAGAATATCAGAAAACTGAAGGTGAAAGAAGAAGTAGTAGCTCACTCTATTAGAACTCCTTTGTAGTCTAGAAATGTTGGCTGGAAGGGAAATCTACAAGTGCCAATTCTGACCTTGGGACAAGGGGGTGACCATGGCAAACACTTGATCATTTCAGCCATGGCTTCAGCCTGCTGAATCTCCAGGGATGGACATTCCACAGCCAACCCCAGACAGAATATTCTTCATTATGGAGGGAAAAAAATGTGGATTATGAATGAACACTGAAGAAAAACATCCTTAGGTTTCCACCAAAACCATCACGAGCCTTATGGGGCAGCAGTTCTTGTGTTAGATATGTATTACCTCCTTCAGCTTGTAAGACAGAAAGAGAAATTCAAAAGTTACACAGCAAATGTTCTCATTCCATGTGCATTACATATATCCCAAGCTGTGACTCACCTGTGTTAACCTTAAAGAATGAAATGTTGGGCCTTGCTCTTTTAAGGTGTAGGACTAATACTCTGTAATTCATTGTTTAACTGAAGAATGTGTACAGGTTGCCATAGCAATGGCTAATCTACATTCCTACAGCTGAATATTTTACTCAAAGTTATTACTTTTACAAAAGAGACTTTGATTTCCATCTCTTCAGAATGTAGAGCACAGGATACTGCAGCTCTAAATTTGCACAGGTGCAGCCTCTCAGTTTGTGCCTGTGCCCTGGACATTTGCACTTGTAAAGCAGGCAAGGGGGCTTTGGGGGCTCACTGCATTCCTGATAACAGCTACTCTGTGGAATTAGCAATTTGGGATGAAGAATCTCAGATGAAGAAATCGCATGATCTCACAAGAAGTCCCTGAAGCAATTGCATCCCTTGAGATGTGATTTCAAACCCAAAGCAGTGTGGGGAGCAGCCACAGTCCCTGTGGTGAACATCTGTAGTCCTGTGCATGGGGTAAAAGTGCAACGATCCCGTTCTGTAGGGGATTCACCTTCTGAGGTGAAGAAGGGATCCTGCTTGTGCCCATCTTGTGCCTACTCAGGTGGATAAGTGACTTTGTTTACTGGGCAGGGTAATATTTTTATCCTGCAATTTCTACGTGTCCACAGAGAACAGCTTGCTAAACTTGAAACAAAGGTATTTATACAGAGAAGAAATATTATGATGCATTATTCAGAGCATCATACTCCATGGGAGAATTCTGAAGGCAAATCAGAGCATGTCAGTAGTGTGTGTCATTTATTTCATGCACATTTGCTGCACACATACAAATATGCCTACACTCACTCAACAACAAAGGAAAACGAGGCAGCTCCATTGCATGGTTTGTGATTATTTCTGAGCTGGAGAGGAACCTCGGGAAGCACATTCCTCCAGGTATTTGCAGTGCCCCTTACCCTTCCCACACTGGTATTCTCCATCCCCACTGAACACACACAGTCAAACATTATGGGCTGCAGAGGAAACAAGCCATGGGAGCAGGAGGCAGAGCTTTTACTTTCTCAAGTTCAGAATGTAGAATTTACCCACCCCAGTGCAGGGTGCTCAGGGAAGAGACAGAAGG